CCTAAACCTCCTAGAAATCAATAAATTAATTAATTAGTTTTGGTGATATCTTTTTATGATAAAATTTTGTATAAGTTTGCTAATTTCAGTTTTCACAAGTCATAATATTGTCTCTTGCTGCTTGTCATATCAAAAGATATACACCATGGATTTTGATTTATGGAGATGTTGGCTGGTCCAAAATTAGCTTTATCACTGTTTTGGTGGTCATTGAGTAGTCGTATCTCTAGTCTTTTCATCTTTAATTTTTCGTCTTCTCTCCTTTACCTTTCAATGATGAAGAGTTGGCCCCGCTTTGATCAGCACTTTGTGAGGTTGTTACTTAATGATAACGACCTTTGCTATTTTCGAAATAAAATATCTTCACCACATTAACATGATTTTGTTTGCCCCTTTAGGATTTCTCAAAAATATTTTCATCGTTTTTGTGAAGAGTTAAAAGGTACTTGACTATACAACAATTCATAGGTGTCTTTACTATGCTGACGCAACCCTTAACTTCACTATCATTTCCTCTTCATAGCTCTCTAAAGTTAGTGCTTAGCATCAATTATTTTTAGCACTAAGATCATTATCATTATTATTTTTTTTAGTTGGACCCCCCGGTAAATATTAGACATCTTATATCTTATCAGCAAACTGGTGGTCGATAAAAATTTAGGGGATCCTTCATAGATATTTCCTGTTTAATCAGTCCCTTTCTACGACGTGGATAGGGCAAAAGAAATGCATAATCCGCTTTCCACTGACAAAAAGAAAAGTTACCACGGAAAATGTTTTTTTTTTTTTACAAAAAAAAAAAAAGTGATTTCACTGTGTCTTGGAATATGCCTAAGGATCTCAAATCGTTTGTCTTTAATTCTTTATACGAGGCATCCACTGGGGGAATTAATATTCTCATGAATAATAAACTGTAAAACTTCGCCTCAATTATCGTTTGCTTTAAGATACCCCCAGGTGCCCAAAATGGCAAGGGCAAATTGTGGGATGGTACTTGAAGTGTGCCCAAAATGGCAAGAACAAGAAAATCCGATCATACCTCACATCAAGGGATCAACAGTTACATATAATCCAGAGGAAATGATTCGACACAGATTTTTATAGTTTGAATAGAAGAAAATATATCAATAAGAAACCTCTTATAGATTTTTATTCATAAGTATTTCTTATGTAAAGTATTAAGACTATTGAATTAGTTAGTGTATTTATCCTTGTAATAGTACTGAGTCAGTTACTTTAGCTAGCTAGTAATTTTAGTTTGTTAGTGTTAGCATTGTGATTAGTTAGTCCACTATTTTGTATATATTGAGTAGTGTTAGTTACATTCATTGTACTGTTCATTTCATTTTCGAATAAAAAAAACATTCAGTAGCTTTCTTTCTCTCTCCCTTCATGCTTCTTCTAGAAGCTTCAGTATCCTCCACTGGAGGAGATTCAGAGCTCGTTTCATACCTGAAATCTCGACATGGTATCAGAGCGGAGGTTCGTTTAACGACCACGCTTCATCTCGTCCTACTGTTTTTGATCCGCGAGCAATCTAGGGTTTTGTTTTCTTCATCAACCTTAATTTGGGAAAAACTTGAATCGGACACATGTAGTGACGATTCGTTGAGGAATAGAAGAAATCTCAACTGTACGAAGATTGATTCAATTGTTTTTCACAAAATTCCATGGCGATTACAGATCAAATTGATGAGACAACCACAACGCTGGCGACACAGACGGTAATCAATGTCGGTAGCCCTCTTTATATACATCCTTCTGATAGCCCAGGTTCTACACTAGTTCCGGTTCCATTTGATGGAATTGGCTATCGCTCCTAGAGAAGGAGCGTACTCAGAGCTCTTTCTGTTAAGAAACAAACTAGGTTTCATCAATGGAGATAGTAAGAGACCTGATCTAACGTCTCCACATTTTCGTCAATGGGAAAGGTGCGACGATATGGTCACCTCGTGGATCTTAAACTCATTGTCAAAAGACATAGCTGATAGTGTTGAATATGTAAACGACTCCGTCGAGTTGTGGAAGGAGCTGGAGGATCGATATGATCAGACAAACGGGGCTAAGTTGTACCGAATTCAGAAAGAAATTAATGACTTGAGTCAGGGCGTGCTTGATATCACTGGCTATTACACAAAAATGAAGAAACTCTAGGAAGAATTGAACACTCTCAGTGTCAAAACTCATTGCAGCTGTGTGTGCACTTGTGGAGCGAAAGAAAATATGCATAAGGCAGAACAGGATAGAAGGTTGATACAATTCCTGATGGGACTCAATGAAGTATATACGGTTGTTCGAGGAATCATACTTATGATGAATCCCCTTCCAAACATGGCACAGGCATTTTCTCTTCTAATACAAGAGGAGAAACAGAGGGAATTTAGACCAAGGAATCAACTGAATGTTGACTCCACAGCATTGAATGTCAACCTAGGAGGAAGAAATTTCAAGACAAGTTGCTCAGCTGGGACTGGAAATCAGGTCACAAACAATAGACCTCGACCTTTCTATAACTATTGCAAACGACAAGGTCACACTAAATATAAGTGCTACAAGCTCCATGGATACCCTCAAGGTTTCAATCAAGGACCACAACAATACAAGCAAGGTACACAGGGATACAATAACAACACAAGGTTCAACAAGGGAAGAAATGCCATGGCAAATGCAATCACAAATGTAGAAAAAGGAGAAGGGCTAGAACTCCAAGGAGAAGGTCAAAATGTGAGTCTTTCAAAGGAGCAGTATGGACAAATTGTTAGCTTGCTGCAGCATTTTCAGATAGGAAACACTGGAGAGAACTCAGCCAGTGCAAACATGTCTAGTGGAGCATCAGTAAACTTTGCAGGTATGGTTGCTTGCACTTCTTCAATTGATTTTGGTAATCCATCATGTAAGTGTTTTAGGGCAACAGCTGACTTATGGATATTAGATTCCGGGGCATCACATCATATGACTTTTAATAGAACTCACCTTCAGAACATAGTAAACCTGCCATATGCTCTATTAGTTAAACTTTCAAATGGTTACAAAGTCAAAGTAACTGAAACTGGAAATGTACTCCTAACACCTAAAATCGTCCTGTATAAAGTCTTGTTCATTCCATCTTTCAAATTTAACCTAGTGTCTATCAGTTCCCTAGTAGTACATCTCAAATGCATTGCATCATTCTCTGATACTTCATGTCTACTGCAGGCCCCTTCACTGAAGAGGCCTTTGGAGATTGGTAAGTTGTTTGATGGGTTGTACTTCCTCTGTTCTAAGTGCCTAAAGAAAGGTAGTCTCAAACCAAACTGTGATCTTTCTTGTTTTTCTGCTCACACTGATGATGTAAATACTATGCACTATCTATCCCACTCTCACAATTCATTCCCTATTGTAAATAGTTCCATCTAGAACAGTGATAATAAAGACAGTGTTTCTGGTTTGCTTTCTAATTCATCTCTTAGTGATAATGTGGATGTATTGTGGCATTTCAGACTTGGTCATGTACCCATTAGTAAAATGAAAGGGATTCCTACTATACCCGCAACCTTTTCCACTAAACAGCCTTTCATGTGCAACATTTGTCCTATGGCCAGACAATCTAGACTTCCCTTTCCCCAAAGAACAACTGATACTACTGAGATTTTTGAAATACTCCATGTGGACCTATGGGGTCCCTATCATGTGACCACACACAACAATTTCAAGTACTTCCTAACTCTAGTAGATGATTATAGTAGGTCCACTTGGACACATCTCTTAAGTTGCAAAAGCAATGCCCTACAGATAATAAAGGTCTTTGTAAGCATGGTGGAAAACCAATTCAAAACAACCATTAAGTGTATAAGGTCTGATAATGGTTTAGAATTCACTAGCAATGAGGCAACGTTTTTCTTTCAATCCAAAGGAATAAATCACCAAAAGACATGCCCACACACACCACAACAGAATGGAGTGGTGGAAAGAAAACTTAAATATCTTCTTGAAGTAGCCAGAGCACTGCTCTTTCAATCCAAATTGCCATTGAGATATTGGGGAGAGTATAAACTTACAGCAACATTCCTCATCAATAGGCTTCCAACTACTCCTCTAAAGAACAAATGCCTCTTTGAGCTCCTATATAAAAATAAGCCCAACTACTCTCACTTGAGGAGTTTTGGGCGTTTATGTTACCCCACTGTACCAAAACCTCTCAGAGATAAACTTGAACTAAGCACTACCCCGCATGTGTTTGTAGGATACCCTTTTGGCACAAAGGGGTACAAGGTGCTAAGTCTGGCCACTAAGAAAATACACATTTCCAGAGATGTTTCTATCTATGAGTCAATCTTTCCCTTCACTCTTAATGCTACTGCAGCTAGCATTCCACCTGTTTTTCCCATTGCACCATTCACTGATAATCCACCTGATGATCCACTAACCACACTGACAATTATACATCCCACAACATCAGTGATCAAGAAAACATCAACTCCCTAAGTGTTGATACATCACCTGCTACCTTCTCACCTGTATCTTCTTCATATGAGTCATAGGTTCCAGTAGAATCACTAGAGGAGTCCCTGGTCTTCAGAAGATCTAATAGGGAACACAAACTCCCTTCACATCTGAATGATTATATCTGCAAGATACCAAATCTAAAATCTAACTCCAACTTCTCCCTTCATGCCATGTTCTCCCATAATAATCACATTGTTCCTGATGCTCTACATCTTGACAGTCAGCACATTGTAAAGAACATTTGTAGTGATAGAGCCAACTTCATATGAAGAAGCTGCTATGTACCTTGCCCGGTAAAGTGCCATGACACAGGTGTTTGAAGCTTTAAATGCTAATAACACATGGGACCTAGTCCCTCTACCTAAGGGTAAACAGGCTATTGGGTGTAGATGGGTGTATAAAGTCAAACATAGAGCAGATGGTGGTGTAGAAAGATACAAATCAAGGCTAGTTGTTAAGGGGTACACTCAACAAGCTGGTGTAACTATACAGAGACCTTCTCTCCAATGGTCAAGATGACCACTATCAGGTCCCTCATTGCCATAGCAGCAAAGAAAAAATGGCAAATCTCAAGATGTAAACAATACATTCATGGAGATTTGCATGAGGAGGTGTATATGCAAGCTCCTCCAGGCCTAGTGCACTCTCCAAGGTTAGTGTGCAAGCTGAATAAGTCCCTTTATGGACTGAAACAGGCAAGTAGACAATGGTACGACAAATTGACTGAAGTCCTATATTCAAGAGGGTATACACACTCCATGCATGATTACTCTCTATTTTACAGAAAACAGGCCTCTTATATTGTCTTTGTAGCAGTGTATGTAAATGATGTATTACTCACAGAGACTGATTCTGAAGAAATTAACCAGCTTAAGGCTTTCCTACATGACAAGTTCAAAATTATAGATTTAGGGCAATTACATTACTTCCTAGGACTAGAAATCCTCTACAAGTCAGATGGCATTATCATTTCACAAAGAAAATTTGTTTTGGACCTGTTAAAGGAATATGAGTGTCTTCATTCTCCAGCTTTGACTTCTCCCCTTGATTCTACAGTCAAATTAAAGGCAAAAGAAGGAACCCCATTATCTGATCCTACATTCTACAGGAAGCTGATTGGAAAATTAAACTTTCTTACTAACACTAGATTAGACATAGCATATGGAGTTCAACATCTCAGCCAATTTATGCAAGATCCTAGGGAGCCCCATCTACAGGCAGCTTATCATATGCTAAGGTACTTGAAAAAGGATCCCACTCTAGGCCTATATTTCAGTAATGCAGATAATCTTCCATTAGCTGCCTATGGTGACTCTGATTGGGCAGCCTGCCCTGATTCTAGAAGATCAGTGTCGGGTTACATTGTGTTCCTAGAGGGCAGCCCCATTAGTTGGAAATCCAAAAAGCAAGAAACTATATTTCTTTCCTCAGCAGAGGCAGAATACAGAGCTCTTAGGAAAGTTGTTGGTGAACTTGTTTGGCTATCCAGGTTGCTTGAAGAACTTACTGTATCTATTGATTTACCAATACCTATACATTGTGATAGTCTTTCTGCTTTGCACATTGCTCGGAACCCTGTGTTCCATGAAAGGACTAAGCACATTGAAGTAGATTGCCACTTCGTGCGTATCAAACTTCAGGAGGGGCTCATCTCTTTACATCACATTGGTACATGCCAGCAGCTTGCAGATGTGATTACCAAAGCCCTCACTAAGATCAAGCATTTTTCTGTACTTGGCAAGTTGGGTGTGATTTCCTCACATCCAACTTGAGGGGGGGGGGGGTATTAAGACTATTGAATTAGTTAGTGTATTTATCCTTGTAATAGTGCTGAGTCAGCATCTTTAGCTAGCTAGTAATGTTAGTTAGTTAGTGTTAGCATTGTGATTAGTTAGTCATATACTGTATGCATTGAGTAGTGTTAGTTACATTCATTGTACTGTTCATTTCATTGTCTAATAAAAAAACATTCAGCAGCTTTCCTTTCTCTCTCTCTCTCTCTTCGAGCTTCTTCTAGAAGCTTCAGTATCCTCCATTGGAGGAGATTTAGAGCTCGTTTCATACCTGAAATTTTGACATAAAGATCTTTTAAAAGTGTTGGCCCAAGAACAGGTGAAGTTTTGAAGAATGACAAATGAACTCAGTTATGGACCAGGTCCAACTTGTGAAGTACAGTCATGATCAACCTACACATGTGAGATGCACCTGAAGGAGATAAGTCCTACTGATCAAACAGCAATATCTCCTGATCTGATCGAAAAGGTTGCATATTGGATAAGGGGAGAAAGTCTCCTTATATGAAGAGAACACAATCCGGATAGAGATAGTGTTGGAGTTTGAGATCTTTAAGGACTCAACTACGATAGAAGATTAGCAATTGAGTCTCAATCAAACTCTGATTACTAACCTATTAAAAGACAGTGATTGTTCTCTTTTACAGGTATTGCACAAACGCAGAAGTTAAACTAAATTGAGAGCAAAAGAGCAAGGCGATTTTGCAAGCAATTTATGTCAGATTTGAGTGTCCACTGCTGAAGTTACTTGAACGAGATAGAAGAACCAATTCCATTGTGTCTTTCTTTTATTCTAGTTCAATTGTAGTAGGTGGTTTAAATTTGTACCTTTCAGCTTTCATAGAAGCAATTGTATTAGGTACTTAAAGTGTTCAAGTTATAAGCTAACTTGAAGTTATCGCAACAGTTGAGGCTGTGTGCTACAACGGGATTAGAGTTAATCCTTAGGTTTACAAAGAGTTTTTGTAAATGTTGTTTTGGCTCAATGATATTAGTGGAAGTTTGGGAAAATCCTACTGAGTAGTAGGTCGTATTTTTTTCACCTTTTGAGTCAGGTGTTTTCCACGTAAAAATCTCTGTGTTCTTTATTTTATGTATTTTTATTCCGCAAACAGTAGTAGTTAGTACACCTAGAAGAACCAGGTTCTTCGAGAGCGAAAATTGGGTACCACACAAATCACCCCCCTCTTGTGTGGTTTTGACGTTTAGAACATCATTTGGAATCAGAGCGGGTTATCCTTGAAGTGGCTAACACCTTAGGAAAAGATCACATGAGTGCACCACCTGGGAACTGGGAAGGGCAATCCAGTGCTAGGCCTCCACTTTTCAGTGGTCAGTACTATTCATGGTGGAAGAACAGGATGAGGGATCACATCATAGGAGAAGACAATGAACTCTGGGACATAGTCACTGATGGTCCTCTAGCAACTACAAAGAAGAATGCTGAAGGAGTGGATGTGCCAAAGACAAGAGCTGACTGCACTACTGAAGACCTGAAGAAGTGGGAAAAGAATGCCAAGGCCAAGAAATGGCTTGTGTGTGGACTAGGTCCAGATGAGTACAGTAGAATTCAAAGCTGTAACACTGCTAAGAAAATCTGGGACAGTTTGCAAGTGGCTCATGAAGGAACACCTCAAGTGAAGAGGTCCAGAGGAACACTGCTGTATCCTCAATATGAGAATTTCACCATGAAGGAAGGAGAAACCATCCAAGAGATGTATACAAGGTTCACCACACTGACAAATGAACTTAAGTCTCTTGGAAGGATTATCCTTGAAGAAGACAAAGTTGAGAAGATTTTAACAAGGGTTCTGCCAGTCTCTTGGGAAAGCAAAGTCACTGCTATTCAGGAATCAAAGAATATTGCTACCCTCAAGCTGGATGAACTAATTGGAAACCTTACTGCCTATGAACTGATAAGGCAAACCATGAAAATGGATACACCCAAGAAGGAAAGAAGTCTGGCTCTTAGAATTGCTGAAGGTTCAGATCTGGAGGATGAGGAAATGGCTATGATCACAAGAGATTTCAAAAAGTACCCGATGAGAGGAAAAGGTTCTTCAAGAGGTACAACCTTCAACAAACCAAGGGCTCCTGAGAAACAGACCAATGAGGGTTGCTACAAATGTGGTAAGACTGATACATGATCAAGAATTGTCCTCAATGGGAAATTGAGTGGAAGAAGGAAAGGGCTGAACGAAGGAACATGAAGAAGGAACAGGTTCAACCAAAAAGTAACAAAGGATCAACAAAGGCTATGGTTGGTGCCTGGGGAGAAACATCAGATGAGGACTTAGAAGATGAAGCTGGAGATGAACAAGCACTTATGGCCATCGGAGAATCAGATGATGAACAAGAGGTAAGTATTCTTCATCTCAAAGACAAGATTAAATTCCTGTCTAAAGAAAGGTTGTCTGAGCTACTGTTAGACTTCATTGATGAGTCTGAGATAATTAACAATGAGAAGGAAGAACTGTCTAGGGAATGTGTGATCCTAAAAGCCAAGTGCAAAAATCTAGAGTCTAGGGCTAATGAGAGTGAAAGTAAAAATGCTGAGTTGAAGAACCAGGTTCTTGAATTTGACACTAGTGTCCTAGAACTTAGGTCTGAAAACTTAAAATTGAAATTAGGAACAGGAAAGAAGAAAGTTGATCACACACATCTCACCCTAGAAGAAAACTTAGGAAAAATGAAGGATGAGCTATACAGGAAGGATGAGCAGATAAGAGTATTAAAAGAAGATCTAGGGAAGGTAAAACATGAACTAGACAGAACTTGCAAATGGAATAAGGCTTCTGATGCACTCTCCTGGTTACAAGAACATCACAGTAGCAACAAAAGAGGACTTGGTTATGGGACTCAAACACCTAAGTGGGATCCTAAAAGCAAGTACCTCACTCTTCTTGAGAACAAAATCTGCACACAATGTGGCAAGACTGGCCATTACAAAAATGAATGTAATGCAAAAGAAAAGGCCAGTCAAAAGAACAAAGCTTTTGTTCAAGAAAAAAATAGGCTGTTTGGGAGTCCGAAACTTTTATAATGTTTTTTTGGACAAAAAACATGTTTTTATTACTAAAAAAAAGTTACCTAAATACCTAATTCGCAGTACTATACTGCGAATTAACTTAACGGAAATTTTACCGTTAAATTAATTCGCAGTAGAGTACTGCGAATTAGTAAAAAAAAATTTTTAACTAATGCGCAGTAGAGTACTGCGAATTGAGACACTCCAATTTTTGGGCCCAGCAATTCGCAGTACTATACTGCGTATAAGCAATTCGCAGTATAGTACTGCGAATTGCCCTTAATAAAATAAACTCTTCTTCTTCTTCCCTAACATAATTCGCTGCCCCCCCCCCTCGTCAAATTAGAAAAAAAAAATTTTGGGCCCCACCCGTTTTCTAAAAAGCAAAGAATGTAGGTCCCACACACAAGACAAGCTTTGGATTCCTTCTTTCGGGTGCAAAAATTCGATTTCAATCAAATTCAAAAAACTTAAATCGAGGTATTTCGATTTTGTTTATGTCGACACTCGTATAGTACATGCATATTTGTAATGTTTAATGTGTTTCCATGTTAATTTGTGTTATGTTTGTACTTAAATTTGTATCTTATTTATACCCGATTGATTTATTAGCTTTGGGACAAAAAAATATTAAAATTTGATAAATAATTTGTATTGTTAATGTTATGTTTTTATTTGGTTAAATAATAAATAAATATTATTTATTTAGTTTGTTGTTCATATTTGTATGTTATGTTTTTTGTTTCTATATGTAATAGTGACCTTTTAGCGTAGTAAGATAAAGAGCCTTTTTAGTGTAGTAAAACATAGAGCCTTGTAGCGTAGTAAAATATAGAGCCTTTTAGCTTAGTAAAATATAGAGCCTTTTAGCGTAGAGTGCAAAATATAGAGCCTTTTAACTTAGTAAAATATAAAGCCTTAACTATGTAGTAACTGCAAACTCTATCCAATAACATTTTACAAAATTAATTATTTAATTTATAAAATAAACTTATATCCGGACGGTACCCCCTTTGAAAAATATAAGTGTTAATACAAATCCAATTAAAACATAAAATAAACATCGCTAAAGCGTAGTAAAATTGAAGTTTACCAGTCGTCTTGTGGATTATATAAAGTCGAAAAATTATTTTGTGGCTGCTCATTCGCCGGTGGTGACAAGTTTATATCAAGGCAAGCTCTTTCATCAGCAATCTGTCCGGCAAAAACTGCTCCAGAATAACCACCCGATGACTGGGGGTTATCCCTACTATGCACGACCTCATTATTGAGAATGTCTTCCACCTTGACATACATTTCCAATAATTTTATTACAATAAATTTCCTATATTCATCCGGAATCCGCAAAAAATCTCTAAGAGTTTCATCATCCTCGATGTTAAACTCAGAATAATAAGCAAACCCCTGCGGAGTCACTGAATACGGAAACCTACCGGTTACTTTAAGGTTAACCGAACGCTTCCTCACACTCATTTTTTTACATAACAACGAAATCAATTTATCATTCTCCATAGTAAGCGGCAATTTAACATGACACTGTGGAGGTGAGCTATACCTCACAGAGTTATTCTCCAGCACAACCCCACCCCCCAATATAATGAAACCCTTATTTTTGGCTCTTCAGACATTGTACAAAAATAATTGATAAGAAGAAAAGAGAAGTACGAACGGAAGTTAAAAGTTTGTATTGAGTGAATTTTCATAAAACTGAGCCTTTAAATAAGGCAAGTCCGAGCCTGGGGTGCAGAATTTTTTAAGGAATTCGCAGCACAATAATACGTTTTATGTGTTTGAATTATTGTTATGTCAGTTAATTATTGGTGGGGCCAACTCAGTAATTCGCAGTACAGTACTGCGAATTAGCAAAAAAATATTTTTTTAATAATAAGCAGTACAATACTGCAAATTAGCTAAAAAAATATTTTTTCAGTAATACGCAGTACAATACTGC